TCCAGAGTTTGTCAGTACCTAAGTCTTGTCTTAACTACTCATGGTGGTAGCAAACTCTCAATTTGATTTCAAGCGGTTCTTTTCATGTATCTTAAGTCTGTTTTCAGAAAATTAGACACTTCCAAGATTAGAGATACTTTTCAAAAATAATGTACTGAAGGAATTTGAGCTCTGCAGTGTGTATGTATGTGATACCTTGTAAGGTAGTTCTTTTTAGTTCATTTTCTATCACAATAAAGCTATTTTTGTGATAGAGTAATTCCAGTCCTGCTTGAACAAGAAGTACAGAAAATCTGTCTCATAAGGAGAGATTTGCAGGATTTCTGTGTTGTTTTTTTAGAGAGAGCAGGTGTTGGGAGCATGCTCTGTTAAGCTTGTAGCTGCATCTTTAGGAATGGAGAAACCATCATGCCTACTCCTGGGCAGCAGTCCATTGATCACTGACTGTACCATGTCAGACAGGAATTCAGGAATTCCAGTGGCATGTGCAGGAACTCCCAAAGATCCCATTGTTGGGCAGTCCTGCCCATTACAGACTATATCTCTTGCTTGCTTGTGAGTGATGGATGCAGAAACCACGAGGCTTTGCTTGCTCACTCTGCTTTTAACATCTGTGTCTCTGCAGCCCTTGTGGCAGTGCACTCTGCATATTAAGGAGGTATTGGCTTTTTCTTGCTTTGCTGTCTGGGTGCTCTGCCACACCAATCCAAGCACGTGGTCTACCCCACGTAAGCCTTGTTGATGTGACTCACTGAGATGCCTCCAGTTGTGGTGAGCCAGAGGTGAGTTGTGAGGCTACACACCTCATTTACAAGGCCAGAGAAAATAACCTATTAAAAGCTTTCTAGGATAAGTATGACTCCCGGGCTGTTTCCAAATTAGGATTTGGAAACAGCCAGATCGTTCTAGGCTGAGAATGAAGCCAAAGGTAGCATGAGCTACAGAGCAGGTTCTGCAGCTGTGCTCCAGCTGAGCACAGGTTATTCCCTTTGTGCCATTTCCTAAATTTATAACACAGCTGACCTACCACACTCCAGTGACCAGCTGGAACTGATGCATGGGTCCTGAAAATGGCTTAAAAAAGAGAAGCCTCCACAGCATTGTGGTGGGCCAGAAGATATGGGTGTGGTAGGTGAACAGGAGAGACTGACAGGGAAGTTGCTGTGGCAGTGAGTCTCTTCTAGCTCTCTCCTGTGTCATCCCTTCTGCCGCTGCAGAGCCCTGGTCTTCATTTGCATGTCAGTCAGAGGTTATGGACAGCTCAAAAGGGGCCTGGCCTGTCCCACCTTACCCACTGCTGCTGAATTTGGGCCCTTGGGTCCTGCTGAAGAGCTTTGGTTTGCAGGGATGACTGCTGCAGAGGTCTCCTGTCCTGCAGCAGCCAGGGTCCCCTGTGTGGCAGAGCTCTGTGCCTTGTGGTGCCTCAAACAGGGGATCCCTTTCACAGCTCTGTTAAATCAATTGCTAAAATATGCTGTGATAGCCCTTTTCAGGCTTATGTGCACACTGAGGACAGTGTTTGCGACCTCTTAGTGTCAGACTATTGCCATTTGATCCCATTTTAATCTATGGTTATGGTTTTAATGGTGTATTATTGGGCTGGGACTCTCATAAAACTGCATGCATCCGTATCAGCCTGTACTTTCACTCAGAAAACCCAGCAAAGGCAGGCAACTGCTCACAAGCCTTCTGAACACAAATGGTTCCCCCTGAACCCTACCACAGCAGTGGCAGAGGTTCCCATGGGCATCCAGGGAGTGCCTGGTCATTTGGGCACCAGGCCAAACACAGCTTTTGGGTGCTGCAGCAGCACCTGGAGTGGCAAACATGACTGAGTGTGAAGAATCGATGGAGGGAACAGAGAACAAAAATACTTATGACTGGTATGGGCTGAATATCTGAGCCAATTGCAAAAACAATTCATGAAAATGTAGCAAAGAGGAATTGTCATTCTTGGGAATAACTTTCAGCACTGTGTGAGCAGCTGTAAACAAATCTTGGAAGTTAGACCAGATAGATGCTCTTTGAGAGCATGAGGGATGCACTAGAAATCTTAATCCGTGTCAGAAATTATAATCCATACCTCTGCCAGACAAGGAATCTCTGGGACCTCCATGACTGTTATTTGAATGCTGTGTGAGAAAAATCAGAAATCAGCTGTGTTGGTGTAAAAACCACTGCATTACAAGTGATGAGATCCTTTAAAATACAGAGCATGGGGCTTGTCTTTCTTGCCCTTTGAACCTGGAACACTGATATTCATAGTGGATTTAGTGTCTTTGTTGTAAAAGTCTTGCAGTGGAATGTGAGGGGTGTAGTTTTTGTTTTCTTCCAGTATCCTCCCCATTCCCTCCAAAAAAACCTTTGCATTGTTGAATGCTAAAAGACCTGGGGTTTACAGTGAGCATCCCTGTGTAAGATTTGTTATGAATTTGCAGGAACAGGGAATATTTCAAAGTCTTCTGAGATTTAAATATTAAAAGCTCTTATTGTGTGTAGATTCCTGCTAAGAATACTGGGATATGCCTCTATACTGGAATATATATTATGTTTTTATCTTTGATGGTCTATTTTTGGGTATTAGAATGCTGATAATTTTAGAGGTCATTGTAAGTCTTCTGTAAAAGCATTATGCTGGAATTTAAATGTAAATTTGGGGATTGGCAGTCAAGTGACTATCAGGCAGCTGCCTGATTTCAGGCCCCTTGGAAAACTCACTCTTTTTACCTTTTATTTTTCATACAACTACCTATACATGGGTAAGATTTACTTAATTTCAGCTTTCTAACATCCAGTTGAAGAAGTCATCTGGATTATCTTTGTAGTTAATGGAAAGAGATAAGCACCTCCAGACAGTGCCTTATCTCAGAAAGCTGAGATAAATGTGCTTTTGGAGATGTGTATCCATTCCTATTGACAACAGAGGGATCCTGGAGAGGTAGCCAAGACTAGATGCCTATCTTTAGGTGGCTGAAGTTAGGTAGGATGTTTACTCCTTATCCTAGGTGGTTTTGAATCAGACTTTGCAGTTTGGACTGATAGCAGGGAAAGCAGCTCCTCTAACACAATACCTTGTGATGCCAGTGAAGCTTTGGGCATTTCCAAAAGTGGGCTGGGAGACGAAAAACAGCAGCTCACAGGAGGAGTGGGAAGATGTTCCCACGACTGTGGCACTGCTTTATGGAAATGTCTGCTCTGTTCCACTGTGCAGCTCCAGGCTGAGCTGGGGCACATCTCCCTGTCCCCCACATCATTGCTTGGCAATCAAAGTTCTGCCTCTCTGGAAGGAGTTTTTGAGGAGTTAAGACTGACTGTGAGATACCCACAAAACTGGGAACAGCCCAAGTGACTGGAGAGGCAGAAGCAGGAGTGCTGCGAGTGGGCAGGAGCTGCCTGTTGCTAGCCCAGGCTTTCCAATGCCTTTTGACTGCAGGAATGAGAACCTCCCCAACCCATTTATAGCACTCCCCTCTGGCAGCTACAGGTGGCTTCCAGGGAAAAGAAGGCAAGATGACTTTGAAGAGACTCATGACGGGAGGCAGCTGCTCTGACAGCAGGTTGCAAGTGGCACTTTGCATCAGATCTCCTTGGGCCAAGGCACGTCCAGCCTTGGCTCTTACTCCTCAAGGCCTCCCTGGTCTGTGCCCAGCTGTGCTGTGCATGCCATGGATGAGCCTGCTGGCCTAAGAATTGCTGCGCACACCATTCTGGTTCTCAGTGGAGCAATAAACACAGACTTTTCTTCTTAAGAATACAATCAGATAAGGACACATAGGAAGAGAAGTGTGTGGGTATGTAAAGACTGCTCCTCTATATGCAGCTGTCACCATTCAGTGTGATGGCTGGGAAATTGTCATCTCTGTGTCCCAGAAAGAGCACTCTTTATCTTTTCATGTGTTCTTTTAATCATCAGGGCCTCTGTAAGCCAACAAAGCTCCTGGAAACAGGGCTTCTTTAAAACTTCCAGAAATCAGTTTGTAGTCACAGGGAATAGAGAGAAAAATAACTGAAAATTAGGAATTTATAAAAAACTGCTCCTTCGTTTTTGCCAACATGAAAGCAAGAGCAGCTGCCTTGCAGAATATTGAAACAATAGAGATCTTCCATCCTGCAGCATCCAATAATGCTTTTTTACTCCTCTACGTGTTTTTAATGGATCCCAAAAAGAGAAAGTTGAAGTGTGGGTGCATCTAATAAAGGTAAAATAATACTTTAAAATGGAAGAGTTTATAAAGGCTAGATCTCAGACCTTTTAAAACATGATTTTCCCAAACCAATATAACAGGAAAGCCCATCTTAACACTAAATAAATGACGATTATAAAGATACCAAGAGTGTGCATTAGGAAATGAGTAAATTTTTCAGTAACTGTAATATCGGAGCAATAAATATTCAACATGACTGGCAAAAGGAATATATACAAGTCTTCCTCTATTCTAAATTTCAAGATTGCATTAGTAATAGCACACTTATCAAGATCAAATTTTTTTGTTTATTACTGAACCTTATTGATGTTAATGTCTGCACAATATGTTTCTTTCCTATATACACTCTGTGCTATGAAGAGATAACATTTACAGGAAAGCTAAAACCAGCAGCAATGGGTAAAAATACCACAAGATGTCACTGCTAACCTGGCAAAACGGCTGCTGCTGCTAAGCTGCCAGACAGCATGCTATTAATTAATAATAAAAGGTATCTGACAGCTTTATTCTGATGAATTATGGGAATCCAAAGCAAAATTCCAAGTCTTTGGTTTATAAATTGTCATTGATTTTAATGTTCTTTGTAAAGTTGTGGCATGCAACAAATTTTCCTGCCAAATGCTGTTAAATAGTCATCCTTTGCTCCGAGTAGTACATTGAACTTGTTAGAGTGATGAGCAGAATGAATTGATGGTTGTCCATAAACCATTTATAACAGAACACAGAGCAGCAATCCCAACAATTATTGAATGCATTTATTAGAGCTTTTTTTTTGTTGTGTTTTTTTTTTTTTTAATACTCCACTGAACAGAGAGGGAGGGTTACAGGTAATGCAGGAGCAATTTGATGCCTCCTCTTGAATAGCACGTGGCTGGGGCCAGCCCCAGGATTTCTGAGCACCTTCTCCTGAAATTATTTGATTTCCCAGCATGGGAGATCTGGCACTATGAGAATATATTTCCCACCCTGTGGAAATAATTATTGTAAAGACAAGTTAATTTTCCTTTCTAAGAATTAACTACTAAATCTTGTGTTTCCTGAAAAACTTTCAAAATGGTTATAAAAATTGCAGTTAATTTTAAACTCAAATGTATATATTTTTGGTAGCATTCTCTATGGAACCAAAGCTGTGGAAAATTTACTTTTTCTCGTGTAGTGTCCTTTGTTAAACCTGACAACCACACAGAATTACCTTTGAGAGGGAAAATAACCCAAACCAACAAATTGCAAACAAGCACATTTCCAAATCTTTCCCTTTTTCTAGATCTTCAGCAAGATCAAATCCCTTTAGAAATTTAAACAGGTAGCAAAGTGGTGAAGGAGTTTGGACATGGAAGGACTGAAAGACTAGTTTAAAAACAAGAATCAGGTTGCTTATATGGTACTGTTAACCAAAAATAGAAAGTGGAGGTGCAAGAAATCTTACAAGTAAACTTGCTAAAGTTTGCAGCACCATTTTGTAGAGGCAGGGTCAGAATCCACAGATTATATAAATTGATTTAGCTCAAAGTTTGTGGGGGGGGAAATTGATTTTTACAGCAGCTGAACATGGGGAGCTAAGTATGTTTTGTCAGTTCACTGAAGCTGCATGCATGCAGAACTGCTATGCTTGATTAAAGAAATTATACTCTTAAGCTTTGGTGTTTACATATTCCCATTTTCTAAAATCTTAGCAAGATTTCAGTTCATATGTGTAAAATCAGAAGAAGTGAAGATCTTGCCTGATATTTTTGGTTTTTTGCAAAAGCATTACTGAACAAGGAATTTTCTGGGTGTTATTCGTGGAACTGTCATTTCCAGATATGGTACATCAGCCTTAAATTTGAATATATTTTGTCCAAGGGGCTGCCACAATGTGAGTAATGTGTACTTTTTTCTTTTAAAAGGAACTATAATGAAAAGTTGGGAATAGAAATAAAGAAACAATTAGAAAGTTTTTGTAAAGCTGGCTCCTACTGACAGCTTGTCTGGAAACATTATAGTCTGACTTATAAACACTGTGTTTACTAACATTTCAAAATGCAGCCTATAATCTGTGTACACTTGTTATTTTATTAATGCTTTTTATTGCAAGTTACAGACAAATACAAATGTTTGACTACAGTGTGACTTGTAGGTATGGACAGATGTTGACACACTTAAAAAGCTTTTAGTTGTGTAGATTCAGAGTATATTTAGATTTTAGTTCTGCAAAGCTGCAGCAGTGGGGGGAAAATATTTGTCAGTATACATTTATGCACGTTTTTAGTCTACAGGAGGTTTTGGTAAATGTGGGAAACCTGAAAGGTGGCGAGTGCTGGGTTAGACTGTTGTTTGCCTCCTCCTGGTGAGGAGGTTTGCCTCCCACTTGGAGCCCTGGCAGGCACCTCTGGTACTTGAAGGTGCTGCAGTGCCAGGGACAAGGGGATGCTTTGCTGGTTTGGGCAAAGGGGGAAGTTTGCACTGTCTCAGAGTGCTCTGCCAGTAATTCCAGGATTTCTGACTGTGCAAACCCTCTCTGAAATCCCCGTAAGGAGATACAGCCGATTCTCCCCATTTAACACCTAAAACCCAAACAAACAGAACCTTCATATCCTTAGCCGTCTCACCGACATTAGCAGAACAAATCAACTCCAAACAGGCAGGTTGAGTGAGAATGATTTCTGGAGCCCGTGTCTCTGAGGAGTGCTTGGAAGTGCTGGATTTCATTTCAGAGGGCAGCTTTGGAAAGGAACAGCCAGGGCAGCAGCGGCTGCTGGCGTGCATCGTCCTTGTTCCTTGCAAACTGCTGGAGCCGGGCTAATTCACTGCAGCCCGAGCTCTGGCTCCCCTAAATGTTGTCACAGTTATCTGTGAGTCTTTCAAGCTCAGGGAAAAAAGGAGGTACAAATCTTTCTGTACATGCTCTCTCCTTGCATTTGAAAAAAAAGCAAAGCGAAAGAAAAATATATGAAAGGATCCCCTAGCCTCCCCAAAAGCTCTGAAAAAAATGGTTCACGCAATTTTTATGGGACCTCTGAGGACCTTGAATTTTTAAGTAATCTTTTTTGATGATTTTAGACAGACCATTAAGCTGAGGATAAAAGTCCCTCTGTTCAATATCTGGATACATTAAGCATTAGGCTTAAAATTTACAGCTTTCATTTTGACAAGAAAAATGGCATGTTTGGTCTCAAGTGCTACCTTGAACTGTTTTTCAACATTAAGACAGGTTGTCAGTCTGAGGGGAGGAGGTCTGGGTACCAGTGGCAGCTGCTGCTGCTCTTGCTGTGTGCACATGCAGGGACAGAGAGATGCAGCACTGCTGCCTGTCAAGAGCTGCAACTTGAGAACGCTTTGATTTTTTCAAAGTAAATGGAAAATTATGCTGGTCCAGGGGAAGGCAGAAAGCAAAGGGGGTGTCATTTCTGACTGTAAATTAAACGGTGCATTCAAATATTTGAAAGAATGAAAACCAGGGGAAGATGGAAAATTGAGAATCATATTTCCAAGAAAGCTTTTGGGATTAGAGTAATGAAGAGTTTGACTTCCAGCTTCCCTGGTGCTGGTATTCCAGAATGACTTGCTTTTCTCAACATCTGAGCATCTTTTACCAAGCAGCAACCACTTTGAATTTTGTCCTGTGTCTGAAAGAGAGATAGAGAAGCAGACATATTTATTGGCAGTGTCCTCAGCTGGCAAGATACAGCAAGATGCTATTAGGAATCTGATAGGGAGACTTTCTCTATGTTAATTCAGTGCACAGCTTGTATAGCTGGTCTTAATAGTATTTTGTGTGGGGAGAAAAACAGCTCAGGCCATTCAGCAGTGGAGGATCACAAATGCTGTCTGCAGGCATTTCTTCTTTTGAGATTTGCCAAGGTTAACAGCTACTTTTGGCTTGGTGGATTATTAGGACCTTAAATAATCTTATTAATTAGATAGAAGGGGCAGGGGGGGAAGTGACCACCTCGTTCAGGATCATGCCCTGGTCCCTGGGAAGGTGTAGAACTGCCTCAGTTAAGGAAAGTGCCCATCTCACAAACCAGGTTTGCTGGGCTACATCACAGTTCAATGACTTTGTGTTTTAGTGAGGCAAGTGTTGAGGAAAGTTTGCAAAAATTTGCTTAATGGTAGGGGGTGAAGAGACAACTCCAGAAATAGATTAGCTTTCTGTTGCTTGGCTGAAGTCAGTGAGTTTAAGAGAACAAAAATTAATCCATTAATTGGTCATCCTCCAAATTAAAGTAGAGGTATAAAATAAAACAACTGTAAAGAAATGCCTCTGGGCTTTTCCCATGTGAGCAGTTAGTAACTGCTGCCAGCATATATGTCCTGGTAATGGTCACAAATCTTAGGGCAAAAAAGCTTTGATAACCAGTCCAAGAAAGATCTGAAGCACCTATAAAACTGCATCCTCTCTAGCTGCAGGAGGCAACACATGATCAGGCCCTGCAAAAGCAAGAGGCATATGACTGTTTTGCTGGCATTAGTCTGCATATATTGTCCCTGTTTCTATTAACTGCAAGTATCTTGTGATTTATCTGATACTTGAAAAGAAAGACAGAAACAAAAGGAGTTGTTGTTTATTTGTTTCTATTTTTTTTTCCTTTAGAAGCAGTAAAATATTAACTCAGTGCAAGTACACTAGGCTGTTGTCTTCACACAGTTGAGAGATGACCTACCACCACAAACACCACTCACATGTTTCTCAGAGACTTTAGATAGGAAAATATCATCTCTGAAGTCACAAGAGAGCTGAGAAAGTGAGCTGTAACAGGGTCAATTAAACAGGCTTAATTACCATGGATCTTGTGAGTACTTGCCACCCTTTGGGTTAAGGTTTCCAGCCTGATCCAGGACCACACTTTGGGTCAGGAGTACTTAGAAATACTTCCATGCAAAAACTGCAGTTTGATGATCAATAATTCAAAGTGAAGAACACTCTTGCTGTCTCTCTCATTTCTAAAACATGACTGAAAATATCTAAGTGATTTAAAGTTAGTGGTCTTGATGAGCTGCTGCTTGGGATGGATGAAGTACTCTGAGCTGTCACTGGCTTGCTTTTGAGACACAAAAATTCTCAGGAAAAGGAACTGGGGTGTTTGGCTCTGTTATCTTTCCTTTAAGTCCCAGAAAAATTCTGACAGAAGTAACCAATAAAATTCTTTGCAAGCAGAGAGAAGTTAACAAGATGAATAGCCACAAATGGATTTGTCATGTCAAGGTGAAAAATCATGTCAAGGCAATCTAACTTCCTTTTGTGAGATGCTATCATACCCTGTGGATAAGGGAAAAGGAGAAGATGACATATTTGCACTTTCTTTAGGCTTTTGTCAGTGTCTTGTGACATTTTGATAGGTAATCTGATGCTGGTGAAATTGCTGTTTATAGGGCTGTTTATGGAGCAAAATCAGTTAGGAGACTGAATGTAGAGAATTACCAGGGGTTTGCTGTCAAAATAAAGGGGTGGATTTAAGGTGTTCTGCAGGAGTCTGTCCTGGGTGCAGAGCTAGTCAGTATTTCTGATGTAATTTGGGTGACAAAAGAGAGCCTACTTAGTGAATTCCCATGTGATGTGGTGCTAGGAGAGACTGAGAGCACACAGAAGACCTAGATTAGAGCAGAAAGTACCTCTCATTTAAAAGAAATGCAATTTGATGGGAAGGGTTACATGTGTCACACTCAGGCTCATATGACCAGAAGTTTCAGCTGGGGGGAAAAGCCTTTGGTGGAAGCTCTGTGGAGTAGGACCTGAGAGTGATGACAGGGCATAAGCCAAGTGTAAGTCAATAATGTCATGCTCTTCTGAAAAAGGCAAATATCATTTCAGAAAGAATCAACAGCAGTATAACCTGCATGACCCATAACATTTTTCTCCTTTTTTTGGCATCTGCAATACCTTAGCTTTAAGGCTATTGTGTAGTGCAAGTCAAGAAAGATGTGGACTGGCTGGAGAAAATACAGAAGAGAACAGTGATTGTGATCAGAGGTCCAGGAAATGTCACTTGTGAAGGGAAAGTAACTTAATTTCCTCCTAAGACTGGGGTGTATGTGGCAATGATATGCAACTACAGAAAAGTAGAGGGACAATGCAGGAGAGGTTGTGGGAACTCCATCATTGGGTCTCTTAGAGAAAACATAAACATCAGGATTGATACAGGAAGATATGAGAAACCAGCCTGTTCCCTGGCAAAGGCTGGGGACACCATGTTAGGTGGAAGCCTCACACAGGATCTCAGTTATACCTAATTTTTTTGAATGTAAATTTTTTAGAAAACCTTTGGATTGACTAATTTGAGTCTGGATGTCCTAGTTCAAACAGGTAAAGAAACAGTCATCACTGTGTAATACTCAGAAATCAAGGGAGAGTTTATTTAATATACATGTGTGCAGGGACTAACAATAATATTTCTAGAAAGAAACCTTTGGGTCTGACAGATGTATAACGAAAGGTTCAGTTTGGAAGTTTGACTTTTATATATCTAAATATTGTAGAGTGGAAAATACTGCTGAGGAGTGTTGATATTATTTGCTCTCCTACAGTGGTCACAGCTCTGACTTATTCTTTGACTGCAAGCAAAGACAGAAAAATGAGTATCCCAAATCTAAAAAGGGCAGTATTTAAAGAAATCCTTCTAAATTCTGTTTTCAAAAGTGATCCAGGCACTTAAGAATCTACACGCCACTGAATTTAAACTCACTTTTGAAAGCCTGATGGAGATGGGTTATCATCTTTGGATGGATTTCAAGCAGTGGGAATAGCTCCTGCAGTCACTTTCATTGCAAGAGTTGTGTGAATGTTTGTATTTGCCATCCAATTCCAAACTCATATTTGCAGGAGAATAAAACCAGAGAGAGTGTGGGACAGCAGATGAATCTGATGGCTCTAAATCACGAAAATCAGTGGTGTAAAACAGGCTGAGTGATCAATACTGTCCATCTCACTATGTTTTGCTATTTGACAGTTTCACTTCAGCCACTGTGAGACAAGTGGTCCTGGCAGAGAAATGCAGGGACAGAGACTGGAAGAGAGTTTCAGCTCCTCAGGGTATTTCACAGGGCAGGTGAGCCTGGAGAGAAAGCCAAGGAAAAAGTAGCAGAAGTAGTAAACTTTTTTTTTTTTTTAAAGTGAGGTAGGCAGGACATGATGCTAAAATGCTAAGAGCTGAAGGATCAGGATTTTTAACTGTGGGTCTCCATCATAATATTTCAGTTTTCCACACTGAAAAGGGCAGAGAAGGGCAGGTAGTTCTAAGTGAGTATCAACATGGAAGGTAACATCAGAAATACAGTGACAGCTGGGAAGAAAGAGGGGAGATGAGATTTTACCTAGAGTAGATTGTATTGAGATGGAACAAAATTCCAGCAAATTAAAAAGCAGGGGCATGAAACTTGGAAAAAGAAGGGGAGTTTCTGGGAAAGTCAGGAGAAGAGGAACTGGGGGCTGAAAAATTAGTATTATAAACATGTAAATCAAAATGATTGACACATAATTCAGTGAAATGGTCAATCCTTTTCTGCCTTCACTGGGATTTAAATATATCTTTGCATGTGTTTGTAAGTGCCATTCCTGCATACTACCACTGTTGTCCCTTCACTTGGTGAACTGAACTACTGTGAGTTTTTTAAAATCTGACCAACACTAAATGACTGAAGCCAGAAGATAAATATCTGTCTTACCTTAAAAACATGCCAGCTCGTCAGACTCTTACTACAGCAACCAGCAGTGAACCCTGCTGCTTTTCAGGAGATGTGTTTGCAGAATGGCTCTGAAACGGCAGCACATCCTTCTTAAACTTGAGTTTGAGTGGAGTCTGAGCAGAGCATTTGCTTTTCTTCATGGCTTCACTTCTTTTTCCTGATTCTATTGAGTGCAACTTATTTGTGCTTTGGAGAAAAAACTGGGATTAGCTAGAGGAGTTTTAGTTGGCTGGCCATCGGTTCTAAATGGCAAAGAAAAAATATCTTCAAAGCAAAGTGCATTTCAATAAAAAAAAAGAAGAAAGAGACATGAAGACTTTACCTAGGTCATGAACTAAGAGAGAGAATAGCTGTGTCAACAATAATTTATTTTTAGGTTTTTATCTTAATCCAAGTATAGGAAAATTAAGGATTTGTAAGATATGCCCTTAAATATTCAGAAATCACTGTTGCACTGGTTGTTCAGTTTAGAGCAGCATTAAATGAAGCAGGTCTCCATCTGGGTGATGGCCTTAACTCCAGGGGATTGTATGGAAAACACACAATATTTTAACTAAATAAGATTTACAATGTAATTTTCAGGGAAGAGGAAATAATGTTGTTTGTTTTATGTGTGTATGAGCTGAGGAAATGGTGTATTGCCTATGGTAGCACAGCAATTTGGGCAGGAGTCCTGAATGGAATAATGGTGATAGCTCTGCAATCCTCTTCCAGTCACTAGGCAACTCTGCCTATCACAAATGCTGTGTAGCATCTTCAAACAAGTCCCAGTTTTGAATTTTTTAATGGAACTTTCAAAGAAATCTGCATGAGTTAAACATTCATAAACCAAAGAAATTAAAAGACTCTGGCAACTTTGAAATTCCAGCTCTCACTCCTGAAGATAGCAGTTGTGGCATTCTTTTAAAATGCTGAAGGGGAGTTTGTGAATCTGGGCATCACACTGGGCTCTTAGAACCATATCTCTATTTCTGCCCACTAGAGGAGGATCAGGGCTAATAGGCATTTTTGGAGAAGACCTTTCTTTAACCCAATATGTTTTATATTGCTTTAGGACTTCCACTGCAGCTTTGCTTTCCTTTCTTATTGGTATTGCATCTTTAGTATTACCCATCTCATTGCTTGAGTCACATAGGAATTTCTCTGCTGTTGCAAATAATGACAAGAAAGATAACAGCTTGTACTGCAGGGGACATATACAATGATTCACAGTCTCTTGCAGGCCAGGTTTCAGTGGGTGCAATATGCAGACTGGCACAGCTGAGTTAATTCTATATGCAGTGGCTCCTGTTCATGTGTTCAGAAGCTGGAGATCCCAGCTGCCTTGTAGGTGAAAGTCACATCAATACACATGTGTATTTATACATATATTTATGTTTGTTTGGCTCAGTGAGGATATCAGAGTGCTCATTTTGTTTTAGTTTTTGAACAGCAGTAAAAGAGAAAGCTCAGATAAAACAGTTTTTGCTTGCTGGCCAGCAACACTGCTCCTGGAAGGATGATCTCCCTGAAGAAAGGCAGAGAATAAAAGAAGTTTCTCCTGTAGCAGCAATAGAAGAGAGATGAGTGAAGGGACACTAATCCTGCAATCCAGAAAAGGTTCTTGGGTAGCCTTTTTTAAGGAATTAATCATTGGTAAGCTGGCACACATGCTGGGTGAGGCAAAAGAGTTGGTGAGGGACCCTGCTGTCATAAATGTTTTTCTGGAAGAAAGCTGCACTGGGAAAATTGTGTGGAACAGGAGGAAGCCATAACTATGGACAGTCCCAGAGAAGCACACAAAGGATGCACTGTGGGAAGGAGCAGCAAGCCTACCTGCACAAGTTCCACATTTCTTGCTTCTCATTTTCTGTGCATGTAGCTGCTTTTTATGACACATTTATGACTCACCCTTCTTGGGCAATGCCAATCTACAGTGATGCTCCAAAATCTTGTTTATGAGAAATGGCCTCCTAGGTTCTGTGTTCCAAATTTACACCCTACCTTTCAGTACATGTTGCTAAAGCAGGTGTCTTGCTAAGGAGCTCAAACTACAGACAGGGAGATCACAAGTTTTGCAGGTGGCCCAGGTCAGTCTTGGTATCCTATTACTTGTGTTTCATCTCTCCATTTGGCATAACTTTCTTTTCTGTTTTTCTCTTGCCTGTAAAATATTTAAGGGAGGTTTTATCTTCAAGCAGGTTGAACACTATAGCGTCTTTTCTGCTCATGGACCAGTGAGCACTCCAGCTTGTCAGTATTAAATTACTATCAAACTCTTTAGTACCTGTCTAATTAAAACAACTTGCTTGCTGATCTCTTCATGCTAAAGCAAATGAAATCCTAATAAGGAAAAGCAATATATCACTTAGATCAAAAGAAAATTAGTAACTATAACATAACCATCCCTTATATTTTTTTCCTTTTTCTTGAAGTGGGGGAGGAGAATGGCAGGCAATTCCTGCTTTCAGATAAAAACATATGTTCAGTCATAACCTTCTAATTGATTCCCTGTACTAGCAAAATCCCTGTGTTCTACTGTAGTGAGATGGAAATTTCCATAGCTGAGAAATATAATTCGAGGGATGGAGCATGGGGAGGGGAACAGGAGATGGCAAACTGAGGGAAGGGAGCACGATGGGGAAAGGGAATGTACCCCTAGAAAGTGTTGGACTGAATGTTTTGCAATCGCTTTCTTGACTAAAGGGGGATGCTCTGTGGAAGTCCCCAGTCCTTTTGTTTGGTTCCATTAAATTGCCCAAGCATCCTTGGGGAAGGGGCTGTCTCAGCCTCTTTGATGCTCTTGGGTTATGGATAAAAATAGAAGAGAAAATACCTCCTTGTTCCCAGCCTATTTGCATAGTTCTTCCTAGAGCAGAATGGTCTGTTCTTCTTCCACCAACAAAGGCTCCATTTGTCTTGGGGTACTGACTTGTTCTATGAGGCCTTCCAATCTTTTCCCTTTTTTTTCCTTTTTTATTTTCCCCTTTCCCTGACCCGTTCTCTCACTGAGCTGTAACACACTTGCCTCTGGCTAGGAATATTAATGAGCATTTCTTTTCAAGAGCTTATGCAGATTCCACTTTGTGAATCAGCTGGCAAGAGGCACTGTCCAAGGCACTTACCCAGAATGGTGCCCAGGGGCAGATCCTATGAGTACATGGCATATCTCATTCCCCAGCCTGAGAATAAAAGGTCAAGGAGTTGGCCTTCTAGTCTGAGGTGCCTTGCATGGCATGGAGGGTTCAGGGAGCCCTTCATACAACAAAGGTTATTTAAATAACTCCAATGTCTCCAAAAAAATGTGTAATGTGCAAAAAAATGGGGAACTTAGCAGCTTAAGTGGTTCATGAGCATGAGTCTTTTCCTTTTGCTTGTTCAGATCTGCTCCAAGTCAGAAAATACATAGAACATTAAAAGTGTCTAAGTAGGGTTCAGTAGCAGGCATGAAATTAATTTAGTTGGTTAAATGAGAGTGCATTTTTTGGTAGAAGACTCTTGACCACACTGCACAGTTTAATTGAATATAAACAGACTTGAGCAATGAAATTTAAAAATCCTGGGCAGAGTGGTCCACAGAAGTGTTCCACTCCTGTCTGCTGGAAAAGATGGGCCATTTATGAGGAGGGGTCTGGGTGACAGTACAGAGGAATGCACACTGCTTTTTATTTGAATCCAAATTGCTCTTTAATGGCATAAATCCGTGTTTGTCCTCCTCTGCATCCTCCTGTCATCTTGGCCTTTGGTGGTGGTGGCTCAGAACATTGGTCTTTATGCTAGAGATGTTTTTTTCCGTTGAGTTTTGCCCACCACTCCCAGCCATGGCACTGGGAGCATCAGTCAGCTTCTGGTTGACATAAAAAGTCTGAAAGAACAGATACCAAATAATCTGCTGGGAAGTCTTTTCTAAAATGGGGCTAAATCTGATGTCAAGTGAAGGAGCAGTTTAAATTGCCCCAGGTAATCCTTCTCACTGGGGTTCTCAACCCTGGGAGGAGAGGTTGGCATAATTTGACTGCAAAAAATGGACAGTATTTTGCCTGTAGGTGTCCAAACCATCATGACTTTACCTAAGAAACAAGAAAAGAAAAGATAATTGTCACAATCAGTGTTCTTAAAGGATTTGTATGCTTCCTTCCATCTTGTGTCCTGAACAGGATGATGGCAAAAAGGATCACATTTTTTTGCAATATTTTGCTATTTTTAACTGTTTGTCCCACTGAAAACAGAAAAAAATAGGTTATTTAATATAAACATGGCCGAAGAAAAGTAAAACTGGAGTTTTTCTTTCATTTACATCCTTCCATCTGCCAACATGGGTCAATTCCTGTTCAAACTCTTGATTCATTCCTGGGCTGAGATATAGGGCTTATCAAATTCTATCACATTTCAGATAGCCACTAGATAAACCCCTCCTCTGTACTCTGTACTTCTTTTCTCGAGAAAAAGAAGTGGTGATCCAAGGACTGGCATGTTTGTCCGGCAGTGGAAAACTAAACTTTAGTTCTGTGTTCTGCTGCAGGGCTCCACTCAGTTTTGGGCCACTTCCTTAATCTCTATATGATGAAGCATCTCCTGCAAAATTAAGGCTAATAGCATAAACAGGCATGTTCTGACAATATATATAAACCTTTTGACAGGAATGGAGTGACATTAGCAAAATCCAAGGTTGGATTTCAGGAAATTCCTATTATGTCTGAAGCCAACAAAAATCAAACTTCTAGAGCTCAATGTGTTAATGATCCCAAATCACCAACAGGAATGATTGCCTAAGAAATGGTATTATTTGGAAGGGAGGACAGAGAACTCTCTAAACTTTTGTAGCCCAGTGCTGGAAGCTGTTGCCATCCATTTAGGTGACCACTCCCCAGGCAGTGTCATATAAAATTTTTTGGCCTAAAGCTCTTTGGGCTTTTACAGTTAACAGGTTTTCTTCATGTCATGGCACAAACCTCCTATTGTCATGGTTTGACGCTGGCCAAATGCCAGGCAGCCACAAAGAACACTCATTTTTTTTCTGCTGTAGCTGAGCAGAGGAGGGGAAAAAACCCAAAAATGAAGGGCTCATGAGTTGAGATAAAGTTTAGGAGAAAACACCCTATGGGCAAAACCAGCTTAAACTTAAAGGTACAAAGCAAATTTATTATTAGCAGAGCCAGAGGAGGATAATGAG